ATAAGAAAATTGTATTCATGACAAAAGGCGCTGAAATGTGTTTTATATATAATAAAACCAAAAGGCGCTGAATGTGTTTTATATATATGAAAAACCTATGCAAGAGCATCGATAATCTACAAAAGCCCAAACGATTTTAACGTTAAAAGTTTGTGATTGTCACTTTCTGTGTCCCTTGCTGTCATTTTTTTACCATGTAACTGACCTGTGATTACATTTTGTCCTCTTCATTGGCGAAGTTAAAGAGTAACTTGTATTGCACTCGGCTGTGGTCACTTCCTGTAGAGACACCTCTGACAATCTGGCAGTTTTCCATCAGAGAGAGGCTCCTTCGGTTTTTTTTACTATTCTATATCCTCATTGGATAAAATTATAATTATCATAGGCATTCTCCTGTTTCACTCAAATGTAAAGTTTACCAATCATCCTTTCACCTGCCTTTCCATGAAAATTGCCCATTGTGAACTTGTGATATTGTATTGCCCTCTTTCAAAAATCTGGTTACTTCTTAATACATTTTCTTATTTTTCTACATCTTCACGGCTTGCTTCTATTTGTAATGTGTAATCAACTCATAGCAGTTTGAAGAGGCAGGGGAAATTAAACTGGTTGTAAAAAACGAATTCAAATCCCGACAGAAAAAAACGATCAAATGAGATACATTTAATTAAAATTGTGGGAAATAAATAAATGCGACTAAATAATAAGATAGCCCAGAAATGTGTGTAACGCGCGTGATGTCACTCCACATGCTGCACCCCCCCCCCCCCCGTCATTAATAATAACATAATCATGAGCGGGTGGATTTTTACACTCCCCAGGTCGAGCGGAGAATTTTTTTTATACAAATTCGCTTTAAATTTGACGTTCCTTTATTGAAAGTTAATCAAATAAATAATTATACGCAGCAAGAAAGTGTATTTGGTGTCTTTATGTATTTCTTCAGCACTTGAAGCAAAAGGTAAGTCTAATTTTTGCTTCAATATTATTATAAAATATATACATTTCTCCGTGATTTTCCAGACATTGTATCGAATACAAATTGATTACAACCCCAGCGAGCGATAGCAGAAGAAAATAAAGTATCAGAGCGGTGATTTCAAATGAAGGTGAGTTAAATGCAGTGCTACAGTGACATGAAGTGAGGCGTTTTATTACAGTTGTGTGCCAGATTCACTGCCAATAATACAGTGCTACAGTGAAATATAGTGAAGTGTTTAATAACATTTTGTGCAAGATTCACTGCCATTAAATTTACACAAGATACTCTGCTCAATTTTTTCGTAAATATTACAGATTCCGTCCTAGGACGGGCAAACGGCTATTTAAATAACAAGACATTAAAAAAAAACACCAAAATGCATGTTGAAAAAAGGGAGAAATACGAAAAACGGTCGAACAGGCGGAACCCAAATTTAATCAAACGGAATACACCCAATCTCATAAAATCTCAGAAGTCAAGCAGGCATGAGCCTGGATAGAGCTTGGTTTACATTAAGTAAAATTATTAAATGTTGCTGGCACAATGCATTGTGGGAAGGTTTGTTCTTATGAGAACAAACAAAGGTGCATTCCTGGGCCCAATCGCCATTTGGACAGAAGGAAATTGACTGCCATGCATTTCAAATAGAACACACATAGCTCTGTAAAACCATTATGAAAATAACGAAGATAATTATAGAACACAACACAAAAATAATCGATTATGTCATGCCAAGGCAATGAAAGCATAAATGTAGAAAAAACTACTTTCTGATTTACAAAACCCCAAATAGTAGCCCTGAGTGAGCTAAATAGAACCGTGAAACAGAGAAAACTATTTAAATAACTGTGGACATCATAAATTAGAATGAGTGGGCTAAATTAGTGAATTGTAAACATCGGCAGATGAGACTGGTAATGTAACGACAGCCAAAGGACAAAACACACCCGAACAGACAGCCCTTGAGGAGATAGCATGAGAAATCAACCCATCACCTTATACACAAAGATGGATTGTAACATTGCGGGACCATGAGGGATTACATGGTAAGTCCTTTGTCCAGCAGTGGGAAAACATGGCATGATGGAACTGACCGTCTAAACCTCGAGGCTACATGTTCGAGAGGGTTTTGCACTCTATTAAGTAATTTTCTAAACAATGGGAATTAAAGGTATAGACACTACGGAGAAGGCTGTGTAATGATAACGTAAGTAGCAGTGGAGGTAAGACACGACAGTTTGGCCTGAAGACGAGCTCTTGCAGGGGGACGCACAGGCAGAGGGAATCGCAGTCCAAGAACGTACGGACTCGTTCAGTGTGGTTAATTTAAAATTCATAAAGGACCGACATTAATATTGGCAAATATGTACGATTCACGTGAAGTTTAAGCACTATGGATTCAAATTTAGATTTAAAGCTTTCCTGACTACAGGGATTCATATTATTGGTTCTTTCGGTAAAGTCACGTAGAAGGGAAACAATAAAATAATAAAAATATAAAACAATAAAATGTTCACGACGTTTCGACTGCAACACAAACAATCATCATCAGGTGTGAAAACCACAACAAGAAGATTTGAAAAAAGTGGCGGTTTTTTAACGTTAGCACCACGGAGAGCGATTTGACAGTTTTTTTCAGATGGACGAGTCCATCTATGTTCGGAAAAGAAGAATCCACAGATAGCTGGGGTAATGAAGCAGAGTGAATGTGTGGTTTCAACAAGAGAATGTGTAACTGAACACTCGGGCGGACAGATGATATTGCAGATGTGATGACAGGAGAGTCATTGAGATAGTGTCAAGACACTGTAACGTAACACCAGTCGAGACAGATGTATTATGTTGTATAATGTATACGTACCCCTTTGTCAATCGACTTCCGAACGGGTTCCTCCCCACGCCAACGGGGGGCGTGGAATGTTCTATCACCATGCGTCACCTTGCTGATAAGTGCGGATTGGTGAAGGGAAGGGGGGCATACTATAGAGTATAGAGGTATAGTACAACAACGGATTTTATTGCGCTGACATTAGCTGCCAATCACGTAGCTCCACAGCCTGTTTCTACATGGTGGTCACCCATCCAAGCACTATCCAGGCTCAATCCTGCTTTCGCTTCCAAGATGAACTATACACAAATACAGAAATCACAAATTGGGAGCGCAGCTTCATCTTTTCACACCACCCACGTGATGCATTTTGCCGAATAGAATACTTTTTTTCTCACGTCATTGAATGTTACGCTTTTATAGCTCCAATACAATTTTCGGACATATTGTCTAATGTTGTCATTAAAAACTTTGGCGAAAGCGTGTCTCCTCGTATGACTCTGTGCACGCTTGGAATTATACTTAAAGTGAAAGAGGAACACATGGACCATAGAACATTTTGAGTGCTAAGAAGCTTAAGCGGGGTTTTGACAGGGCACAATGCTAGATTGGATGATGTCCAGTGGTCGAGACTAATGATGGAGTGGCAGCAAAAGGCGAGATCATACGGAAGAGGACGTTCACGCTAAAACTCAGCGATGAAAGCAGCTCGTGTGGAGGCGTCAGATGGATTTTTGCATCTCAGGATTGTGAGAGATAGTAACAACTCGGGGAGGCCTTCAACCTGCAGTGGATAATACTGTCAACCAAACTGATTTTTTTTGTAAATATGTATATTGCACATTAAATATATATTCCATTCAATATGCCGTAAACTTTTGTTCTCTAGGAAATGTTATTTTGGCTCCAGTGAAATTTAAGATATCTTATATTCATTATTAGTGGAGTAATTTTCACTGCTTTAACATCAAAGGGGCCTGAGTACAGAAACAATGCAATAACTAAAAAAGAGAAAGTGGTGTGCGTAACGCTACGGAGAATCGTAGGGAGAAGAGCGAACTTCGCGTGTGATGATAATTTATCAGCAGTGGCTGTACAAGGGGAAGGTTGCTTCTGGCTGCTGGTCCCATCTGGAATGTGAGTTATATATTTTTTATTTCTCGAAAGAAATTTTTTCAGACATTCCATCTGTTGAACAAAGTCTGATGATAGCCAAGTATGATTGCTCAGTCAAAAGCGTCTCGATCATATTGGCCTGGAAAGCCTAATAGATTAAAACATAAACTTGTATTCACGTGTGTAAACAGGATGGATGGCGTTCTGGTTCATGTTTGCTTTTATATCCAAAGCAACATCCACTTGATCGGCCTAACAGTGGCCATAACAGATACATTGGCGGCTGGGTAAGCATTCACTTTTAACGTTCGAATCCTTAATCCTGTTATCGGCGTTTGAAAAAAAAAGATGGTGCTCCAGTTAAATATTTGTGCTTGTCTCCCTTCTCAAAAGTCTATCTCCGGGGCCGGAAGTTAGCATTTCCTTTTTTAGAATACGAGAGGGGGTGGGGGTGGGTGGGGTGTAGGGGGGTGTGGGGTGGGGGACGAAGGGATTCCACTGCGACCACGTGGCCGCTGCGCCCCTGCCCCGCTCCATCCTCCCCGAAGCCAAGTCCATATATGGGCAGTGACGGAAACTGACGTCAATAGGGCGGTTTCTGGGGGGGTGGGGTGGGGGGAGAACTTAATGGCCGGACGCTACCATTCGGCGGCGACCCAGGGCGCGTGTCCAAACAAACGAATCGCCGCACATTTCCGTTCGCGTCGCAAACGTCTTTGTTTGTTTTGTTTACGGTAAACGGTGCAGACGAGCGCCTCCCGCGCGCACAACCCGACATTAATCTCACGTCGAGACGGAGAGACTCCTTATACACCGACCGAGGGGGATCGTAAGCAGGCAGGAGGAGGAGGAGGCGATTTGACGATTTGAGAAGCGTGATGCCCGTGACCTGGTACGGAACCGCCTTCCCCCCCCATCGTTGCCCCGAGTGCAAAGTGGTACGCCCCATTGACGCACGTGTGCGGCGGTGATGGTGGTGGGGGGAGGGAGGAGGACGCCCTACCCCCCACACCCCCTACCCCCCCACACCCCCTACCCCCCACACCCTCCCCCGCCTGTATATAAAGCCCGGCTCGCCGCTTCACGTGAAACTTGTTAGCGAGCGAGTCGCAGATTCACGTCCGTTGGTGGCGATTACGCTCTTGTTTTTCTCTCCCAAATATTCCTTCACCCAAGCACGTTGTGGTTATGATGACGGAGATGTATGCCGAGCTGCGCTCGGCGGAGTACGACGCGCTGTCTCGTAGCAGCACCTCGCCGGCCGAGTCCATGTACATGTCGTCCCTGGACTCGTACTCGCACGTGGACAGCCCCGCGGCCCCCAACGCCAGCCAGGTAACGACTTGACGGCTTGTCAACGTGGACTTTGTGTTGTGTGTGGTGTGTGTTTACACATATACACGTGTACACATACATGCGTGTGTACACAGACATAGACGTGTGTGTGTGTACACAGATATAAGACATGCATGTGTGTGTGTACACAGATATAAGACATGCATGTGTGTGTGTACACAGACATACAGACATGTCGAATTCGGCTCATTTCCACACACACACGTTCCGTATTCGGCACGTGTGTGTGTGTGTACACATACATACAGACATGCGTGTGTGTGTACACAGATACAAGACATGCGTGTGTGTGTGTACACAGACATGCGTGTGTGTGTGTACACATGCAGACATGCGTGTGTGTGTGTACACAGACATGCAGACATGCGTGTGTGTGTGTGTGTGTTAAGCCTGTCGGTGTGGAGGACACGCGTGTTTGGGGTTTGATGGAAGGAACTTAAACAGCGTTGACCCGCCCGCACTGGACATCTGTCAACAAGAGCTTCTCGGCTCATCAGATTTCTCCTGCAGTCTAAATACTGATTCGGTGGAGTTTCACATTAATGTTACAGCTCGTATACACCGTGCTATACAATATACACGCGCACACAACTCTGTGTGTCAATGTAATCAGTCCCAAGAGATTTGAGTACTGCAGTTTTCACGTGAATACGGTACTGTCAATTGTCCATCATGCCACCCGCATCGCCTTACTTCATCATGCCCGCATGATAGTATCTTCGCTTCTTGTTCATAATTTTCTCGTAATCGAAATTTCTCGTACACTTTATATCCGATTGGCCTTTAGCCCAACGTGATGTAACTATATCGACGTTATGTCCGTGTCGCTTTAACAAACTTGCCGAGCCTTAAAGGGACAACATTTGTCACGGGTACAAACAATATCAGGGGGAAACGTCTCTGCCGAGTTCACGGTGGGGTTAGCGTCCGACTGATAAGCCAGAGGCATGTGGGTGGATTCGTGCACGTCTCTTACACAACAGACTGCTCTGTGCTCGGGTTTTTTTTTCTTGCCAATGCGAGAGAGGTGGTGGTGGTTGTTGTTGGTGTTCGTTGCGCAATGTGCCACCCTTATATTACCCTGAACGTTAGTTTAAGAAGCATTTCGCAAGAGTTCATGCTGTGTTGTTCCGGTCAAACGGCGCAAGTCTCTTATCGCCACCCACGCTTTGGAGCGCGTGTAAATAATTCATGTCCGGTCGTGCCTGTTGCGACATAACTTAGACACACTAGTGGATTAAATAAAATAAATAATGCTTTTCCCCTCCCCTCCACCCTTGTCGACTTTTGAAACGAATTTTTTTTTGTGATATATTTTTTTTACGTGTACAAATCACGTGGAAATTACAATGCTACGGTTAGACAATACCGGGTATAGGAATATACATTCTAATTAAATAATACACGTCACTTATCCAGCATTTTATATTAATGTGTATTATAGTAACGGAACTGCAGTATTTAAACTTGAAAACTATAATATTTTCCAGTTTATATACAGCAGTTGTATGTGATTTCAAATAATTAATTGCTATGAATGGTCATGTTATCAGATATTTTTAAAGATTAAATATCTGAGTATACAGTCTACATTTAACCACAGCCTGTGCAATTAGAGCTGCCTGTATGGAGAATTGACCTGGTATCTCTGTGTCTTCCCCAATCCAGGACTACAGCATGCTGGCCACAATTGGTGGAGACTCCCAGTGGCTGCTGCAGACCGCGGTGGCAGGGCGAGTTCATGGGGGCCCAGCCAGGCGTGGGGGACCTAGCAGGACCCACCCGTATGGCCAAGGCAGCAGGGGCCCCGGCAGCGGCAGCTGCAGAGGAGACAAGGAGCCCGCAAACGCCGAAGAGGAGGAGAGGCGCCGCATTCGCAGGGAGCGCAATAAGCAGGCGGCCGCCAAGTGCCGCAACCGGAGGCGGGAGCTCACAGAGACCCTAGAAGCGGTGAGCGTCTCTCTTCCAACCACCCACCCTCAACATTCGCACATCCATCCACTCACCAACCCACCCACCCAACACGACCACCACAAGCCAGTGAACTTCAACTCTGTTATCTAGCTGTTTCTTTAGCTTTTGCCTCCTTTGGCTTTGCATGCCCAGACTTGCTCGCACACACGCGCAAGAGCCTTTGATGTCTGCCCTGTGGCAGTTAGCTGGCTGCCAGACACAGGCCCAATATTTTTTCAGTAGTTTCACCACTGGTAGCCCAACTCTGTTTTTATTTATTTAATTCACTGCACTGATCAACCAATGCTGAAACAGAGAGTCAGTATAATTGTCAAGGTAATGTGGATCTGAAAATACCTTAATATTTTGGACACAGTGAAACCCAGTTAAGTGGTACAAGTTATAATGACATTGACAAAGTTGGCAAAACGCTTTGCACATGGAGTCGTTTTTTTTTTGAAGGGATGAGTAAGTGACGATACTGATGAGTAACCCCATGATAAAAACAACTACGTGAAGTACCATCCCATACTTATCTCGTTTCTTTATTCATTTTCTGCTCCAGGAGACTGCCAAGCTAGCGGCAGAACAGTCGGCGATCCGCGCCGACCTCGAGCGGCTTCAGAAGGAGCGCGACGAGCTGGAGCTTGTGCTGGCCGCGCACGAGCCCACGTGCCGCCTGCAGCACGAGCCCGACCAGAACGTGCCGAGCGCCAACTCCCCCCGCCTCTCCCCGGGCCTGCCCGCCCCCAGGCCCGCCAGCCTCCCCCTGCCCCCGTTGCAGCTCAAGCAGGAGCCCCCGAGCCCTCCTAGCGAGCATCGGCACCAGCGGCCCGCGCCTCGCGAGCACGAGCAGGCGGGCGGCCGGCCCCCGCGGGCCGCCGTAGAGCCGCAGCAGCACGTGGCGCCTCCGGGGCAGTGCCCGCTGGAGGCCGTGGAGCCGCTGCACACGCCCGTGGTGAGCTTCACGCCCGGCATCACGCCGTGCAGCGGAAGCGGCGCCTTCGTCTTCACGTACCCGAGTCTGGCGGGGCTGCAGGACTTCCTGCACTCTGAGCCGCGCTCCTGCGCCTCGGCGTTGCGCCGGCGAAGCAGCAGCGGAAGTGGAGACCTGGGAGGAGAGGCGTTGCTCTCCCCAACCATCCTCTCCCTCTGAGCGCGCGCCCTACAATCGTCCCAGTTTTTGACCCCCGACACGTGCCGTTTAATTCTTCCTCCTCGCCGTCAGTGACTATCTTCCCCTGCACCTATGAAAAAAAATGCATTCCACTACAGCATCTTTCCAACTGCTTAAAAGTCGCAGCAATTCTTCCTTAATTTGAAAGATGCAATTTTCTTTATACTTCTTTGAGAAGTTTTAGGTGCATGCCGAGCAATACCACTGAAATGGTGCATTGTTAATGTTGTGAAACAATGTGTTAAAGTTGATTGAGGTGGTAGCTTCAATGGAATAATACTGTGCTGTCTATTATCCCATGAATGTTATAAGCTGTTATGTTCACGTTGAATTCAGAAACTAAAACCGGCATTGCTTATATATACTCTCTGAGTATATCACGCATGTAGGATCTGAAAGTTGTATTTCTGGCATCTTGTTAATTGTATATTTACGTTGATAATGTATTTTCTGTAATCGTCACGCGTATTTATTTCGTAAATATATATCGTGTTAATTTATTTTTGCACTATTTTGTTGACCATTGCAATAAAGTCAATAGTTTTTACAATAATGTTGCAGCCCTTGTGCGTTTGCTTACAGCGTGGTTTATACTTTGCATACCCACAATATCACACATTAACACTGGCTGATGGTGTCAGGACACGGCAAGTAACTACCATCCTTGGTTTTACTGAGCGAGCACCACTTGGTTTACTGCTGAAGCAAGCGGCAACAGCTCGCCTGGCTTGTTTACACAATGTCTAGACTCTTACAGGAACCCTCACAGCACCTTTGCCACGTACACAAACGTTCGCATTTTATAGTTTATGAATCCATAATACATGCAGACGATGACAACTGATGGGACATAATGTAATAGCGCTGTCACAATCGGCCATGATGAATCCACTGCTAGATGAAGACCTCCCCGAGCAGGTTGAAGTATTTACAGGTGTTCATAACTCACAAGTGGCTAGTTGTGTGGTAGTTTACATAACGGGATTCTGGTTGGGAATTAATGTTATTCCAGTATTATTAGAATATCAATTATTAAGTACGCTTTATTACACGGGTGACCCGGGTAGTGTTCCCAAGATGAAGAGGACTCCAATGGCATATTATTCATGGATCTTTTAAAAGAGCAGGATTTGTGTGTGGAGAAAATGCAGTTAAAGCTGATGGGAGATTTGAACTGATTACAGTAAAATGGATATGTACATTTTTATAAATAGTTTTACAACTGAATCAACATTTGGCATCATGAATGAGTTTCCATTGGGGAAATAATGTTATAATATTCAACTCAAGCAAATTGTAGTGTTCACACCGGGCACATTTGTAAGCAGTTCAGAAGTCTTTAGAGGTACAATGTTTAGTAAGGAAGACTGAAAATGTGAGTTATATATATATTTTTAAAAGTTAAATCACTCCTGCATATACAGTACCGCAATAATTTAAACACAGACATTGTAAAACTGATATGGTTTCTAAAAAAAAGAGTATAATTCAAGCGTTTAACACGACCACAAATGGTATCATTCATGTTAGGTGTGTTCAAAATACCATTCGTTTTATTATTAAAATAAAATTCCAAATTTTGCCACCAAAAACTTGAATAAAAAGCAGTCACAATCTTCATTACTCGCGGTGGAAAGCAGGCGCTTTCAACACGGCACGATAATTCAGAGGACACGGTGCATGGACGCTCAATAAAGCCTTTGCAGATTTCCATTTGTGGGACAAAAACATCAAACACCGCAATCATAAGTAACTTGGCAATTCTCACTAAGGGGACGCAGGCGTTAAAAGCACGGCAGCCTTTGTTTTTACTCTATTGACTTTTTCCCAGGAAGATGTGTAGGCACTGAACGGACCAGGAAGGAGTTAGTCTACATGTAAAAAAAGGGTCCGTCGCTGCGCAAATTCACCGTCCTGACAACCTTGACAAAGGTAAATTATTATCACCGCGTGGGGTTTTCACACCGGTGCTGTACCTCTCTCTCTGAGTGAGTTCCTGAAGAAGCTCCCAGCGTGTGGAGCGAAACGTCGGACATAATTCCGAACAGCACGCGCTAGAACCCAAAAGCAGATCGGCTAAGCTTCTTCAAAGGCCATGGTTTTGGTATCTTTCGAATTGGCGACGAACAAAGTTGAAAGACAGAGACCGTGTCAGCACTCTGCCCCCTGGTGGCTACAGAATGTTCTTTGAAGTTCAGTTATCCGGGTGTCAAGAGGCCGATGAGCAAATCTCCTTCGTGAATGCAAAATTAAAGACAAAAGCCATAGTCGTGCGTTTATGGCCATGACCAAAACCATGGACCTTTTATATTGTAAACCACTGGAGTCTGCGCCCCTTCAAAAGAGGATGATTAGTAAACTCCATGAACTCTCTCTCGAAGCCAATTCCTGGCTAGCAGACCTCGATATTGGCATTGAGAATAGTTACCCGGGTTTCCATCTTTTTCGACCAACGGTAGGAGTGGGGAATTTCTCATGGAATATATTTTTCTGGGGCATCCCCCGTCAATTGGCAGGGAAATATTTTCTGCAGGTCAGCCACGCACAACCCCTGCTTAGATGAAGTCCTGTACAGGACGGATACAAAATGTATACATCATTCCAAAAATATATACCGTTCTCGCGAACAGGATCAAATGTACACAGCCATTATAACTGTGTCGATTTTGTTGTTGTTGGACAGGTGCATTGCTCACGCAGTGAATACGATTTAAGTCGAAATAAGCGACACGTGGTGGATTCCATCTCTTCGCGGATACACATCACAACGGTACTTTAAAGCACAGCAAAGGACGCCAGTAGTGGCAGCCAGAGAAACATTCTGTATTGGTAAGCAATACGAAATGTTACCCTACATTTGTATTAGACTCGGCATATGTTGCAGGGTTATAGCAATGCATCGAATTATCAATCAATATGAATTTGTCAACTCCACCGCTAATGCTACAAATCGCATGTGTAAGAACTTGTGTTTTTCGAATCGCACGTTGTGTGATTGGTTTGCGTGACTCCTGTAGCCACGAGATGCGCTACCATTCACTGCAATGTTTAAAATAGTTGATCCTGACAATTAATAGTTGGCGCAAGGGTAAAAAGGCTGCACCATGAGTCAACTATACGAGTTCTCGAAAACCCAGGAAATATTTCAGTTGAAGTTCGCTTCACGAGTTACACTGAAACTTACATTGCTATTTTTTTACTGAAAGAAATCAAACAGATGTTTTAAAATGAAACTATAACTCACTCTTGGAAGGCTCTGCTTAATCTATATAAATATATAGCAGTACCTGCTACTTCCATACTGAAGCCTCCTTGCCATGCATAATCCACCACACTTGTTTTTTTTACAACCGCAGCTCATCACATCCAATTTCATTACAGTTCAACTGTGAACCGACTCCAACAGAGAATCTCATCACGTGTTAGCGTACACCACCGTCTTAGTGGATTGTGGTTACCAACAGGCTATTATTAAGTAGAAGTCGGTCTTTCCAATCAGTTTTTCGGCTGGTATCTTACGGCTCCTGTTACAAGAGGCGCTACAATTCACAATAATGTTTAAAATATTTTTTAAACAAAAATCGTCGAATCTCACACACACGTGATACAATTTTGTTTTACCTGTAACAGGTTTGTGAGCCTACTGTTCCAATGTTGTTAAAAAGGGACATAGCCCAAAACGTCACCTATTGTGTGGACATGTATGTTTTTTAAGGCAGTGTTATTGATGAATGTGGGTTTGAGTTTGTGTTTGTATTGTTAATTTGGCACCTGCACTAAGCTTGTCCAGCTATGGTTTTCATCTGACCACATCACTTTCACCCAGTTGTCCTCTAAATAATTCAGATGTTCATTGGCAAACTTCAGACGGGCATGTATATGTGCTTTCTTGAGCAGGGGGACCTTGCGGGCGCTGCAGGATTTCAGTCCTTCACGGTGTAGTGTGTTACCAATTGTTTTCTTGGTGACTCTGGTCCCAGCTGCCTTGAGATCATTGACAAGATCCTCCCGTGTAGTTCTGGGCTGATTCCTCACCGTTCTCATGATCATTGCAACTCCACGAGGTGAGATCTTGCATGGAGCCCCAGGCCGAGGGAGATTGACAGTTATTTTGTGTTTCTTCCATTTGCGAATTTCGCACCAACTGTTGTCACCTTCTCACCAAGCTGCTTGGCAATAGTCTTGTAGCCCATTCCAGCCTTGTGTAGGTCTACAATCTTGTCCCTGACATCCTTGGAGAGCTCTTTGGTCTTGGCCATGGTGGAGAGTTTGGAATCTGATGGATTGATTGCTTCTGTGGACAGGTGTCTTTTATACAGGTAACGAGCTGAGATTAGGAGCACACTCTTAAAGGGAGTGCTCCTAATCTCAGCTTGTTACCTGTATAAAAGACACCTGGGAGCCAGAAATCTTTCTGATTGAGAGGGGGTCAAATACTTATTTCCCTCATTAAAATGCAAATCAATCTATAACATTTTTGACATGCGTTTTTTTGGATTTTGTTGTTGTTATTCTGTCTCTCACTGTTCAAATAAACTTACCATTAAAATTATAGACTGATCATTTCTTTGTCAGTGGGCAAACGTACAAAATCAGCAGGGGATCAAATACTTTTTTCCCTCACTGTAGATGTGGTGACCACGCTTCTGCGCTCTTGCGCCACGTGGGGGTGGGGGGGATTACTGAGTCAACGTACATTAAGCATGTGCATTAGGCGAGCCCTTTGAACTTGTCCTTCCTGTCTATTGTGTTTATTAAAATAGCCGTACCAACAGTAATCCCTATTGAAGTATGCTGCTTTGTAACGATGCATTTGAATAATGTATTATTTGATGATTCGCTTTCACGCAGCACTAAGGCGGTAGCTATCCGATTAAAGTTATTTTATTTCTTCAATTTCGATAGATTCTCTAATTAGTCTTGGCCAGTAGTAGCTAGTTTTGCACAGAACTTCAACATCAATTGTGTCCTTGTTGGCACGCGTGTTCTGCTACTGCTGACAGTTGTATTTTGGAGAATTTTATATTTCTCTGATGTTCTTTTAGTCTCGTGCTGATCATTCGTCCTGTTTGCCCAACATAACATTTACCACACGTGCAGTTGATCTTGTACACACCTTCTGTTGATAGCTTCTTTAATACATCTTTTGTACCAGATATACATTGCTGTATTTTATGTACCGTGCCAAATCTGACTTGGATGTTTTATTTTTCCAAACATCTGACTAGTTTATCAGTTACTCCCACAATGTATGGTATTTTTTTAATAGTTTTAATTACTTGGGCAGTTTGAATGCTCGTGTTATTTGATTTGGTTTTGGCATTCAATGCCCTGTTGATTTGTGCATCATTGTAACCGTTCATTTTCAGCGCTTCTTTCACATGTTGAATTTCACTGCTCAGACTGTCACGATCTGACACTTTCTTAGCTAGATGATTGAGCGTCTTGATGAGAGCAGATTTCTGTGCGGGGTGATGGTGTGACTCAACATTCAGATAGGCGTCAGTATGCGTTTTCTTTCAGTAAACACTTATTTTACCATTTAGACCCCGT